AAAAAAAAAAAAAAAAAGATTTAGGGAGAAATATCCGTTCCCTAGGAGCTCTGTCTTACAGGGTTGCTGTGAGCTGGAATAGATACTACACAAGGCATTAACTCAAAGGAAAGCAGAAGTGGCTACTTTAATTTCAAGGTAAAATCTCAGGCAAAAAGTACTCAAATATATAGGAAATACATATATAATAAACGGGAATAATCAATTCAGTGATAACATGATGTTATTTTTGTGCCTTAAAACACTGCAAAAACATTAACAAAAATTATTGGAAATATAATGAAAAATGGAGCTTCTTAAGCTAAAACCGATTAAAATAATAATAATAACCAAGAATATAAACAACAGAATTGCCTATTTGGAATTATTATACACTGAATTTTATACCCTACACCACCTTTAAAAACAAAGACATGCTTAATGAAAACATTTCTACATTCTTCTTTGACAATGACTTTACATGCCACTTTATAAAAGCAAAAAAAAAAAAGATATAGGGAGGAATATCCATTCCCCTAGGAGCTCTGGTAGAATAGTGCCAAAGGCATTTCACTGCTAACCAGAAAACTGAAACCTGAAACTAATTCACTCTCAAGGAGAGGGATTTTTTTTTTTTTTTTTTACTATCCATATACAGGAATGGGCATCAAAGGCCATTCCAAATAAGGAAATACACAATTTGTGGGATGGATTCACAGGGAGATAGCATCTGCTCATCAACATTCTTATGTTATTATTGAAAAAAAAAAAAAACCTTATAGTGACAAGCTATGACTAAACAACCACCTTCACTCCTAACCCTAGCTCCTCTAACCATTACTTTTCCTAAGCAAAGATTTTGATTCCAGGCAAGGCAGCTGTGGACACAGAAAGTAGATTCAAGAGATAATGAGGAGACAAAAAAAAGAAAATCAGATACTGGTTCCAAAAAAACCAAACTCACTGCCATCAAGTCCATTCTAACTCATAGTGACCCCTCCTTGGGCTTCCAAGGCAGTATCTCTATGGAAGTAGATTGCCCAGTCTTCCTTCCAAGGAGTAGCTGGTGAGCTTGAACCACCAGCCTTCTGGTTAGCAGTCAAACACCTCAGGCACTACACCACCCACCAGATACTGGTTAGGGCATGAATAAAGAATCCATCAAAAATGCCTGTGCACCTGATAGAGCAAGAGGTTCTGCAAGATGATGACAACAGAGTAAACAAGCTAGAAATCACAAAACATCAGAGCTGAAAAATTCCTTTCAGGAAAGAGCATACAGGCCATTTAACCCAGGAGGTCCCACCCTTTTTCAGATGGTAGTTCTCTTTAAGGAGCACAATTAATGTACTTCATTCCATTACCAAGAACTGGAAGAATTTTACTTGCAGGAAATACAAATTATGGGTAAGGCATTTGGCTACTAACCAGAAGGTCAGCAGTTCAAACCCTCTAGCTGCTCCATGGAAGGCAGATAAGGCAATCTACTTCTGTAAAGATATGCAGTCTTAGAAACCCAATCAGGGTCTCTACAAGTCAAAATCGACTCAATGGCAGTGGGTTTACCTTGGGATATAAGGTAATAAACTACAATCTATGTGGCCCCAAAACCAAGCTCCTTTGCTACTTACCATTTGTTTTGACATCTGTGAGTACTTGGGAGTAAGTAGAAAAATTGAAAATGAAAATAAAAATTACACAAAAAATAAAAATCACAGGGGAAAAATATGTAATAGGTAAGATTGCATCACCCTATTTTATCCCAATTTTAGAAGCAGTTCTACCTTTGGTTAGCTCACAGAGGCATAATCTGAGAAACCGTGGTCTAGTCAAACCCCCTCTTTTTACAGCTGAAGAATCATAAAGACCTTGATTTAAGTCAATCTCATCTCTGGGTCTCTAATTCTTTTATCTTTCAGTTATAAAGCCCTAAGATTTCTGTTTCTTCACTGCCACTTAAGACAAATAGCTGGCTTTTTAAAAAGAAATAATATGGAGGTGTGGTGACATAATAAGAAAGGTACATTCGCTCTTGTACTTAATTCATCACTAAATATTACTCTCTCTGTATCATCAATCAGTTTGTAGGAACCCAAAAAGAAAAGCCACAGACCTTAAGTCTTTCTTCCCCCATCTTCCATTTGTACAGAGCTTTCTGACAGAGAGAAACCCCATCATTTGCAAAGGATATATTCTCAAACCCATAATTTCCCCCAACAAAATACAGCTAAGAATAATATCACTGTGTGATATTATGGAGAGCAACAGGATTACGCTGAGATGAAGGCTTTGGGTGGCTGGCAGTCGGCTAAGGGACTTGTTCTACATATACTAGCTTCAAAGCAGGATTGGAAATGTGTCACAACAAAATTGTATCATGGGTTTTCAGGGTCTCTTACAAATTGTCAAAATTGTAAATATTAAATCCACGATACTTTTACTTGCTTCAGCTCAGCTCCACCACTGGTTATATAAATTTGGGCAAGTTACTTACTTCTCTGTGTCTCTTAATCCATTTGAAAAATGGTGATAATTTAAAAAAAAAAAAACAGTTGCTGTTGAGTTCATCCCAACTCATAGCAACCACATGTGTGTCAGAACAGAACTGAACTCCATAGGGTTTCCACAGCTATGACCCTTTGGAAGCAGATCACCAGCCTTTCTTCCAACGTGCCTCTGGGTAGGTTCCAACCACCAACTTTTTGGTTAGTATCCCAGTGCTTCACCATACGCACCACCTAGAGACTCCTCAGTGATGACAATATCAACTACCTTACTGGACTGCTGGTTGATGAGATGACACATATAAAAAGCTTGGAACAGTGTCTGACAAAGTGAATGCTCAATAAATGTCAGTTCATATCTCATCTGAGCCTCACAACTCAGAGGTACTTTAATTCCCATAGTTTGCAGATGAGATGAGGCATCTGTTGTGTAATGGAAAGAACGATGGACTTGGAACCTGGGGATCTGGGTTTAAACTGTGGTTCACTAGCTCAGTGACATTTGTGAACCACCTGACTTTTGGGGGCCTTGGTTTTGTCTGTAAAATGGGGGTAATAACAATTTCTGTCTACCTACATCACTGATGTCAGAATCCAAAGAGATTGCATAAATAAAAACAATGTAAACATATATAAAACACAATACAAACTAAATAAACTGTTTTAGGGCAGTGCTCACGAGTGCTGGCTTTAGAGTCAGCTACCTGGGTTCAAATCCTAGCTCTACTATCCACAGCTATGTGACCCTGAGTAAATTATTATCTTCTCTTTGCCTCAGTTTCCACATCAGTAAAATTAGGATAACAGTACCTATCTCATTAACTTGTTGAGAAGATTAAATGAGTTAATACATGCACAGTACTTAGAACGGTATTTGGTACATAAAAGGTACTCAATAAAGGTCAGTTATTGTTGCCATTACTGCTGTTGTTGTTGTGTTTTGACTGTTATTAATCCAGTCACATTAACCCAGCTCCACTGCCTTGCCCAACACACTTCTTAGAAAACAGACTATGGCCCCACCTGTTGCTGTGCAGCTCGGGCCTCTCGGTGCCAATCCTCCACCAGGGCCACTGCCTCCTCACCACTCTCAGGGTGGTGTGCCTGCACCCAGGTCTGGACCTCCCTGGGTAAGATAGACAGGAACTGCTCCAGTACCAGCAGCTCCAGGATCTGCTCCTTGAGGTGGATCTCCGGCCTCAGCCAGCGACAGCAGAGCTCCCAGAGCTGGCTGAAGGCCTCATGGGGTCCAGCTGCATCCCTGTACTGGAACTGCCTGAAGCGCTGGCGGGAGGCCTCAAGGACAGGGACAGGGTCCTGGTCCTCCTCCTGGGATTTAGGTTCTGATCCCCATGAGTCCTCCTCTAGTTTGACAATCAGTAGTCCTTCAGGCTCTGGTAGGGGAGAGGCCTGGGATTCCAGGACCATAGCCATGGTCTAGCCCGGATGTCTCACTTCAACTAGGCTGTTCTCTTCTGACTTCTTCTTGCATTTAGAGTGTATCCTCCAAGGGGTCTCCTGAGAGAGGGGTTGCTCCCTAAAGCTCTAAGGGCAGAAAGACAAAAAACACAGTGAGCAAGAGGATCCAGGAATCTCACTTTCTTCACATTCCCCACACCTTCTACCATCCATGCATGGAGTGAGAGGGGTGCTAAGAGAGGAAGGAAGTGAGACCACAATCTGCCACTAAAACCAGCAGCCTACACACCTTGAAGAAGACACCACAGTATTAAATTATCTAGGGACATGCCTAAATACCTTAGCCTTGCATGCAAGGACCCCATGAGCTGGCCTGTATAGCCTTTCTCCCTTATACATATGTGCAAAGTCTAACCTTCCCTTAAGCTGGGGTCCAAATGTCACCCCTCCATAAGGCCTTTCGTACTGAGCCTTAACATCCTGTAAAGGTGATCTCCGTGGAAAATCCTTCTCTCACACTATACTCCCCCTTGGCCATCCCTTCCATTTGCCTTTTTCATCATCTTTATTCTGATAACTCCCAAAACTTGAGCCAGGACCTGTCTCTACACTTCCAGACTCTAAAACCCAATCAGCTTGCTACAGGACATTTCTACTTGACTGTTCCTTGGACAACTGAAACTCAATGGGTTGAAAGTTGATGTCCTCATTTTCTACTGCAAACTTGTCCCTCTTCTGGAATGACCCATTCAGAGAAGTTTCATCAAGTTACTCATGCCAGAAATCTGGTCATCCTTCCCCCAAGATCCTCCACACCCAATTCATCTACAAGCTGTGTCCACTTGGCCTTATAACCATTTATATTCCCAATGCTACCTCTGCAGTCCAGGGAATTATCATGTCTTTCCACTGATTGGCCTGCTAACTCATGTCCCTGCTCCACTGCCAGCCCCCAGGCCATTCTTCACACAAAAACCAAGCTAGATCAAAATCTGACCATGTCATTTAATACCTTCAATGACCTTTCATTTCCCTCAGTATAAAGTGCAAATCTTGCCTAAGTCTCCAGTCTGGTCTTTTTACCATGCTCCCACTAGTCAGAGTGCTCGAGTTACACAGCTCCCAGTTCCTGCATTGGGCTAGGATCTCCCTGGGCAACAGTCTTCTCCCTTTCTTCACCTAGCTAGGTCTCTGCTTAAATTGCACTTTTCCCAGGAGGCCTTCCCAGTACCCTGAAATAAGATTCACTCCTCGGCCATACACTTCTACAGCACCTTATGTTTTCTCTACTATAACCATGATCAGATCTTATTGTGATAATCTTACCCACTAGATTATAAGCTTCCTGAGGGACCTAGCAGCACAGTACTCAGTGCACACAGGAAGCACTCAATAAATAGTGAAATAGCTAAGGCTGACAAATGACGAGTGTGTCATGGCCAAGGTTTTCAATTAATCCACTTCTGCGCACAACAGATTAAAAGAAAGAAATGACCTTTCTTATCATGCTAGAGGGAACTCCTTTCTCTTTAGGAATTTGACTGCTAACCAGAAGGCTGGTGGTTCAAACCCACCAGCCACTCCTCGGAAGACTGGGCAATCTACTTCCATAGAGAAACTTCTGCCCTCCTTGGAAACCCAAGGAGGGGTCGCCATGAGTCAGAATCAACCCAACAGCTGTGAGTTTGGGGTTTTTTTGTTTTTTTTTTTTAGATATTTCCATCTTGCTTGTGACACTTACCACTTTCTACTGTGTATTATAAAGGAGTACATGTATGTGTGTGTGTCCCAGAGAGATTACAGCCTATTTAGGGCAAAGGACACAGTATACTCCTCTTTTTCGGCACTCAGTTCCAACTATAAGTACCATGCTCTAAACACAGAGGGTCCTCAGTAAATGCTTAGTGAGTGAACATCTGGCACTGCCCCCTCTACACAATGAAGATCCTGATGACACCCAAACTGGGTTATCTGAAAAATGAGCTCTTTGTCTCATTCCCAACAAACTGAGATGACATAAAAAATGCCCACTCAAAGGAGGCTACTAGCTACATGACACAGCTGGATTGTAAATGGAGGGAGGGTAACATTTTGCACTTCAGGCCATCTAACTAGACTGTAAGAAAACAAGCAAGGGTGATGAAACCTAAAAGCTTGTCCTAAAGACTCCATGTACTAAGGAAAAGGCTAGAAACACAATCCATGGCCATCTGGTAACTTCCTTCTCATGCTCCAGCTACCAGTTCAAGTGTCACCTTATCTGTTAAGTTTCTTGACATGCCCTTGTCATGTCCTGTCCCCACTCCTGCTCCTCAAGAAGTGCCTCCCCATTCTATGTTTCCAAAGCAGTTGGTTCACATTTCTAGTAGTTTTATCCCACAGTATTACAGTTACCTCTTCCTACATCTGACAGCTGCACCATACTGTATTAATAAGTTTCATATTATATCTTACTCATTTCTGTATCCACAATGCCCAACCCAGGGTCTGACAAACAGCAGGACAATTCAGAGTTTTGATGCCTTTTATTAAAATGGTAAATGTGGTAGGTCAAAAGCCTAAGAAGCTAATAGGGTCAAGAATTTATATTAAGCAAAACAATTAACTTCTCATGAATTTTTTTTTTAATCACAACCTCACTGATGTGGTAGTCCAAGCATATCTGTGTCACTCTCTCACATGAGGGCTAATTCACCAGTCACTTGCAGAGTGCTACTATATCTGTGCTGTACTGGATGCCAGAGATCCAACCATGACTAGGACAGACAGTCCTACCTTCATGGAAGTTATAGTCTAGTGAGAGAGGCAGTCAATAAGCAAGCAAAGAAGTATTTGCTCCTTTACAGAGAGAACATTATAACAAATAGGCAATGAGCAGTCTCATCCAGCCCAAAGCCCAAAGTCTTAGATAATGGTTATTTTCTTCAAAAAGGTTTGAAGTCCCAAAGGTCAGGTTCAAATAAAAATAAAGTCCCAGGGACCATATATCACCAGTTTTTTCCACTCCTCTCTTAGACAGGTATGGACAGCAGCCTATTAAGGAGAGGACAGCAGGGTAACTTCACACAGAGCAGACAAAGGGAAAATGGACAATGGCATTCCTCAGACCTGAAACTATTAGGAATACTGGGGCACCACTAGGATCAGCAACTCAAAGAGTTTACTGAATGTGTATGAGGCACTAGGCCTGGGGCTGGGTGCTCTACATTCATAATCTCACTAGGCCAAGTGTCATTTATGCTGAATTGCATCACACTGACCTATAACTTACACATATTCAACTACATACCAAGAGCAGAAAGAGATCATTTAAATAGTGTGGCCAGTTCCATTTACTATGCGCCTGTCTGGAGTGAGCATGTGATACTATCCATGACTCTGTTGTTAGATTGGTCTTAGTTTCCTCATGCTTCTCTTTCCAGATTGTGAGCAGAGTTATCTTTCCTACAACATGGTTCCTAAACACAAGCCAACTCTTTCATCTAATGTACCACCAAGACAATCCAGCTATCCTGGTTTGCCTACTGAATGACACCATGTTAATTTCTGAAATGCCCCTTGCCAAAGCATTTCAAGCTGATTAAGCATGATTTTTCACCTTCTATGCTGATATTAGAATGTAATCACCCTATAAGGTACAACTCCACTATATACTCAATTTACATTTAGGGAAATTGAAGTTCTGTGAAGAAAAATTACTGAAGGTTACACAATTAGCAAGCGGCAGAGTTGGGATCTAAAGCCAGATTCACCTTCTCCAGTCATTTTTCTCAACCACACTATATAGCCTCCTCTAGGTCTGCCAGTCATTCAAACGCCTGAGAAGATTGTATGGGAGAATGGAAAGAACATTAAGGCAGGAATAAGTAGATCAGGGTTGCAGTTCCTCTTCTGCCTATTATCAGCCATGTGACTTTGGCCAAGTCATGTGGCCACCACTGCTGCCTATCTAGGCCACAACTTACAGTTTGGCCCCATTCAGCAGTTGCTCCAGGTTCCTCAATTAGTGGCTACAAATTTAAAAGGCTACAGGGATCAGGAAAAAATGTAACTGAGTAAAGTAGGCTGGGTAGAGATTGTAGCTACCTATACATAGTCTGTAATCAGGAGAAATGTGAACCTTTCAAGTTTTCTGAGAGAAGCTAGAACTGTGGATTTTTAAATGTTGACAACCATTTTAAAAAACTGTTTCAAACACCAGGAGGATTAAATAAAGCATGATGGTGGGCTTCATTCAGCACTGGCAGTCACTTTGCCACCTCTGAGATAAATGATCTCAATTACTTTTCCCAGTATCAGGAAGACCTACAAATGGTACAGATCCTACCAAGCTATGGGGGATAGGTTTTGTCTCCTGTCAAAATAAAGATCCCTGTATAAGCACAGGGAAGCTGAGTGGAATCCTGGGTTCTGGGGTATTGAGGGTAGATGAGGACAAGGGAAGCCCATCCAGTGAGCAGGTGGGTTGAGAAAGAAAGATCCACCCCAGTCCCATGGGAAAGGCTGGGACTATTCTGTGACCTCTAAAGAGAACGAAACTAGAAGTTCCCAAAGGCTGTCAGGCCCACTTGCCTGACAATCCAGCCTATGATTTAAAGCAGCTATGGCTTATGTCAAAGAGAACAAACAGATTTCATTTAAAGGCCAATTTAAATCAACTCAAGTGGCTAGCTAACGTAGGGTGCTGAGGACTCTGAGTTCCATCTATTTACTGTGACCAATTAGCTGTCATTCCCAGAGCTACAGGAAGAAGAAGTGGCAGTACACATTCCATGTATTTGCCCCGCCTGCCTTAATCTCCCATAAGCACCGAACCAGCCTCAAGCAGAAGACTAAAGCTCATGTCCCTGGAAATCCACTGGAAGTAGCAGTCTTCAAGCCTGGTATAGTGAAGTTCACCCTGGATAGTCTTTACTCACACATTCATCAAGCATTTACAGATGCCTGCTCTGGTCCAGGCACTGGTGAAACGGCAGTGGCTCAGACCTGCTCCTGTCTTGGAGATGCTCACAGTC